AGTTTGGCAGGGTGGCTCCTCGGACATCTCGGCAACAGTACCATAACAAGTGGAAGGTGCTAAAGATCAACTTGCTTCATCATTCTGCCTTCTCATGAGGCAGTACACTGCCCATTCCCTTTTCCTTGGATTCACCAGGTGATACTGAAATGAAGCAGCATTTCAGTTTACAGACTGTGGGAGGCAAGTGGATAGAACAGCTGGCAGGAACAAGGACCAGGAAACTGAGTAATGCATTTGATGCCCTTTTGGCTGCAAAGCTAATCGATGATTAATGCTTACTCATCTCAAGCAAGGATTCTATGTGAACGCATATTCTATGGCACCTATCCAGGAGTTACGAAAAGGAAAGGAGGTGTGGTACTGTGCTTACATTTCACCTTTTTCAACAACGTTAAATGGAAAGATTTGTGGAAGATTTCATCCTTTGAATGCTGAAATTCAACCCAAGCACTCAGAGATAACTTTCATTTTCTTACTTTTTTCCCCAAGAAATTACAAGTTATCCTAACTAATTGAGACAAGCAGTCCTCATTTTCTTCCAAAAGACTGTAATTACTTTGTAGACAAGGCTTATAAAGCTTACCCGAAAGACTAGAAATATGAGGAATGCACATTATTCCAGTTGCAACTGCAGAATGAATTTGGAAAGAGACTCTTTCTCTAATAGAAAGATGAGAAATCAGGCTGCTTGCTTGGGTAGAATCTCCCTTACTCCAAGCTCAGAGAGAAAATCATTATAGACTAGATCTATTTTAGACGAAAGACATTGGATTACTAGATAAGAAGGGAATCTCTGTAAATGCTAGAGGAGAGTTGAACTGTTCTTCATTTTATTCCAGTTGGAAATATTTATTTGCCCACCCAAAAAGTTTCCCAAAATATAGCTTATTGAGATTATTAAAAACGATAAATATTTAGAAGAACACAACATACTCAACATATTTTTAGAAAATGTTGTTGATATTAGCAGCAGCAGCTAGTTGTTTATTTTATACAACTTTGAAACAAAGACCAATCAAGATAAATCCTACAAGTTCCAACTAATATACTCATTCGGGATGTGATAGTTAATAATGCTTTATCTTAAATATATATATATATGTAATACTATAAACACATCTATAGATATCTTTAGAGTAATGCTTTCTCTTAAAAAGTATATATATATATATTTGATACATGTATAAAACATATATTTTATATATGTATGTATGTGTGTGTGTGTGCAGGGGGTGTATGTGTGTGTATCTTACCAACATAGGACATTCTCAAACAACATTGAAATGTCTTGAATAAAGTCTAGAATTATCGACTACATTTTGTTCCTACATATATAAGTACATGTGTAATGGACAGTTTTTAAATGTTCTATCCCCAATTCAATGTAATGTATCACCTCATTTGTATCTTTCTTTTTCTCTCACTCGACAGATTCTCTGGGTTAATGAGAAAAGCAGCCCCTGACATCCAGGAACTTGGTCGGATGCTTACACTGGGCCTTCGTATTCCTAGTTGTTAAGAGCTGGCCTGACCCTCACAGCCAAGGCTCAGTGTTCTCCTGTTGGACCCACCAAAACAATCTCTCAGAATATCAGCATGAAGCAAGGTTTCTCTGTGACTGTGAAGAACAAGACCACTTCACAATGTTTTCTTTTTTAAGATTGGCACCTGAGCTAACATCTGTTGCCGTTTTTTTTCTTCTTCTTCTTCTCCCCAAAGCCCCGCAGTACATAGCTGTATATTCTAGGTGTGAGCGCCTCTGGTTGTGCTGCTTTACAATTTTGTCTAAGCACAAGGCAAAAGCCAGGTCACTGTGCAAACCACAGAAATATCAAACAACTCCAGGCTAATTAAAGTGAGTGTTGCTTCTTTTACCAATTACTGATTTATTTTCCTTCTAGTTTTCTTTCCTTCTAGAAAAAATTTATTAAGATGCCTATCATAGAATTATCCCCACTTTCCAATAGCATCCAATGCAGAGTGAGCAAATCCCCACTTCCTTGAACCCTCTCCAAAATCACCCAACCAAAACACAAATCCTCTAAATCCTTTCTAACATCCTTTTACTAAAACACTCCACAGTTCTCCATGTGTGCAGTCTCTCTTGCTGCAATGAACAATAAACTCAACTTGTTCAAGTACAGTGAATTCCTGAAGGTCTTTGGATGGAAGGCATTAACATACATACAAATTTTACAATATTATGCATTGTATAATTGAATTTTTAATCAATATAGATGTGTACATATGTATAAATATATAGCTACATGTTTTATTATATATATAGTATACATACATGGGGGGGGTGTGTGTAAATGCACAGAAGAAGGACCGTGACTAATAGTATCTATCCTTAGGGAATGAAGAGATATTAGGGTGTTTGAAAGAGTGCTTTCACATTGACTCTTTTTTTTTTAATTTGCAAACATGTTTTTGTCTTAATTTTGAAATTTTTTTTTACTCAATTATTCCTTTTTATATTTTCCATTTCCAGAAATTGTAACAGTTAGGAATTTTGTTTTGTTGCAAGTATTCGAGATGTGTCTATTTGGCGAAAGAAATGAGGAGTTTATCCTCTGAATGTAAAGGAAGCCCATGGTAGACAGTTGTGGTAGGCAGAATTCTAAGGTGGCCCCCACCATTCTTACCTCCTGATATACATGCCTTTTGAGTGTGGACAGGACCTTTGAAGATGGGTGATCACTCCTATGATTAGGTTACAGTATGTGGCAAAGGTGAAAGAACTTTGTAGAGGTAATTAAGGTCCCAAATCAGTTGATTTTTGAGTTAATCAAAAGGGAGATTACCCTGGGGGTCACTTGACTTCATCAGGTGAAAGCCCTTAAAAGAGGGAATGGGCCCTTCCTGAAGACAGAGATTCTTCTGCTGGCCTTGAAGAAGCTAACAGCCATGTTGTGAACTACAGAAGTGGCCACGTGGCACAGTGGTGAAGTAGAGGTTAAGAGTAGTCCCTGGCTAACAGCTAGTATGAAATGGAGACTTCCGTCATACCACTTCAAGGAAATGAATTCTTCCAACAACCAGAGTGAGCTTGGAAGCAGATTCTTTCCCCTGTCAAACCTCCTGATGAGAATGCAGCCTGGCTGATACATTGATTGCAACCCTGTGAGACCTTGAGCAAAGGACCCAGTTAAGCCACGCCCAGACTGATGACTCAAGGAAACAGTGAGGTAATAAATGGGTGTTGTTTTAAACTGATAAATTTGTGATAATTTGTTAGCAATAAATAACTAATACAGCAGTTCAGAGATGGTATGGTGGTTCTAGAAAATAGTCAGAGATCCAGGCAACTCTTCCATCTGCTGCTTGTGCCTTGTTCCTCCTCAAGGTCATCCCAAAGACAGAAGATGGGCAGCCACAATGCCCAGGTTCCAGTCAAGGAGAAGAGGAGAAATAGGAACAAGAGAGGTACATGCTAGTTGTTAACCTTTTAAGTGGTTTTCAAAGAAGACTTACATACAAACCTCCAAGTAGACTTATCGGCCACTCCTATCTACAAGAGGCTAGGCAGTAGAATGTTTTAGCTAGGAATATATCTAATAGGCAAATAAATAAAAACAAACAGGATTCTATTAGCAAGGAAGAAGATGGGTGGGAGGGGCATGGACGTTTGGGGAGCAAACGGCAGTCTCTTCCACAGACAGAAAAAAAAGGAAAACAAATTTCCTGGTATGAGCTTTTCAATGTCCTTTTTCTGCTTTAAAAGTTTTCTGGTAGGAGAGAATTTTTGTAAGCAGAATGCTTATAGAAACACAGAATTATATTAAAAGACAAGCTTCTGAGCAGAGTACAAAAAAAGGTTTTTAGTCAACACTAATGCTTTTGATCTTGCTCTATCTCCTCTGCCTCCAAATGCCTCCTACCCTGCCTTGTCTTTAACAGAGCTATTTGCTCACCCACTAGGTACTCGTCTTGCCCTGTGGGAAGATCAACAAATATGAAGCAAAGAAAGTGCCGGATCCTTTCCCTGATCAGTGATGTTTAAACCCCAAATACAAAACATGAAGAGAAATAAATCTTCTATTTAAGCAACATCACATTTAAGTTATTTTTCTTTCCCCTTCTCTCTGCCTCACAGAAAAGCCTGTGTGGTAATGAGTGATTAAAGATACAAGCAATATGGCTCAGATACTGAGGTCAGCTCACAGCAACTTAAGTTTACAAGGAAGAAGGAATGACCTGGGGGTATGCTGAAGACCCATCCAAAAGAGACAGAAAGAGGAAGGTGGCTGACTTATCTGGTAAGCCTTGGGGTGCAGCCACGTGTTGGAAGCAGTGCCCAAAAGGTATGAAGAGCTCAAACGTGAATCAGGCTGATGCAGGACCCACTGGGTAACAGAACAGAGTGCCCAGGAAGTGGTGCATTTGTTTAGGTGAACCGACTGTTAGCATCTGGGGAAGGTGAGCCAAAGGCAGCAGGACTCCAACAAGCTGGCTGAGAGACCATTCGATAACTCACCAAAGGTTTGTAGAAAGCCAGTAGTTTATAATAATGGACTAGAGGTGGACTCTCTTCTTAAAAACTGTTGTTTTTAATATTTCTTCAAGATGGTAGAAAGACCTATACCTAAACAAAGTAGAAAGTGATGTGTTATAAGAAATTACCCACAAAGTGATAGAAATAGTAGAATTAATTTGACTTTGGGAAAGCAGGATATTTAAGAAGGCTTCTTGAAAGCATATCTTGGGATCTCTAATAGTGAAACTACAAGAGGAAAAGAAAGTGCTTATAGTTACAGGATTAGGCAGTGGAAATTCAGATTGATGCTGCTGAGCAACCACTGACAAAACTCCAATCAGGGCAGTGGTGGAGGTAAGTTCCCTCTCCTCTCTCTTTGAGCACCTTATTTCATCATGTACAACGCTGTGCACTTGCCCTTTCCCCATCATCTCACTGTAAAAAGTATATATTAATGATAATAACAACAACAATAATAATAAAGAATAGGGCAACGCACAATACTCAGTTTCTTGAGGTCTTTTTTAAAATAGCTTTATTGAAATATAATTGACATACAATAAATGGTACATATTAAACTGCATAATCTGGTAAGCTTTGACATATGTGTTCACCTGTTAAACTATTACTACAATCAAGATAATGAACCCCCAAAGGATATATCACCCCCAAAAGTTTCCTGAAGCCCCTTAGCAATCCTTCAATGCTGCCTCACCCTGTCACCCCCTCCATTCCGAAGCCCCCACTCATCTAATTTCTGTCACTATACACTAGTTTGTATTTCTAGAATTTTGTATAAATGGAATAACAGAGTGTGTCGATTTGTTGGTCTTCTTTCACTCAGGCTATTTACTTTGAGCTTCACCCACATTACAGCATGTATCAATAGTTCATTCCTTTTCATTGTTGAGGTTTATTCCATTGTATATCACTCATGTTTAGGTCTACCATCCTTGTTTCCTTCTAGACACCTTCCTTTCTTCCTCTTTTCTTATTGCAACATACTTATTATAGAAACTTTCATAATAGTACAAAAGGGAAAGAAAGAGGAGAAAATCACCTACAGAAAACTTTGATATTTGAATTGAAAACCAACAAACAAAACTAAACAAAAACTTCTGAAGACTAAAGAGCCTTTATGAGAGTTATACCAAAACCTTGCTAGAATTTTTTGGTGTCCCTTTGATAGATACTCGGGGTGGGGATGATATTTCAGTCTTTGTGGCTTTGCCTAGAGCCCTCTAAACTGCACCATTTAGGGCTACCAATTCAGTCCTCCAAAGGCTGTCATGTAAAATGTTTTGCTTATAGAAAGGGTGTCTCAATGAGGAGAAATTATAAAATGAGGCAAGATGCTAAATCTAGACATACAGAGGGTATACATTAAAAGAAAAGTCTTAGAGATCCACAGGCTAATAGCAACCTAATAATAATCTTTATAAATCGGTATTATCCCAAAGTGAATGGCATGAGCCCAGAGAGGGAATGCAATTTTGATTATGATGTGTTATCAGGAGTATTTCTACTGTTGAACCACAAATAATTTTTCTTTTTTTTAAACACTAAAAATCCTTAGGTGTTCCCCCTCTGCCGTGGGATGCACTCAGTAGCTGCGTCTTTTAGCCTAGCAAAGATCAACCTGACCTTGGCCAACCGGCTTGTACTTTGAAGAGAGTACTTTGTGAGACATGTGAGTAGAGAGGTATTCATGCTTGGCAGAATTTGCTGTCTCTTTTGCTCAGTATTTTACCATGATTAATCCCCATTTCTCTTCGCTGCTGCTGCTGCCGCTGTCGCTGCTGTCAGTCTCATATTTCTTCTCTATAGCAGATGCCTTTCAAATGTTGTTGGATTCCGGCTGGGTGTGACCTTTTATGGGGCATTGCTGCCTCCTATCAGGCTTTTATGGGCCTGTTGGTTTGTGCACATGTGCAGACATTCTGACCTCCTGACCTCCAGAATAGATTCTATGAGAACAACTGTATCTGACCTTTCCAACATTTTGGACACTCAAACTCTTCCCAAGTGCACGGGTGCGAAGAACGCTCGCTCGTGGTTTTGGCTTACATTCTTCTCACATCAGAAGAACCACTCTAGGAGAACGTGAAGCCAGGTCAGAAATGCTAACATAACAGCAAGGTTACTGGCAGCCCTTAAATTTGCCTGGCATGAATTTGCACGTAAGGCAGTGTTTCCACATCTTTGTTTTTATTGTGGTTTAAGCAAGCAGTTCCAAATAGGTGAATTACACTTTCTGGGATAATCCAATCTGTAGAAGGTCAATGGCTAACAAGAACTCTGGAAACGTTTGAAGCCATTTTTTAAAATTCCTTCTCAGATGTAGTCTTTTCTCCTTTCTGAGTCCTGAATCCTGTTTTTAAATGAACCTACTTACATAAAAAAGTTATAAGAATCCATTTTATGCTATTTCTAGTACCTTTAGTTTGTGTTTTCTGTGCTGTTACCGTTTACCAATAGTGAATTTACTTTTGGTAAGCGTCCCAGGATAATGTGTTTAAAGATTCAACACAACTTTTTAAAATAATTGCCAAATAATCTACTTTTCTACAAAAAAAAAAAAACCCTTAAATCAGAATTTTAAAGCTTTAAATGTCAGATTAAAATAACTATAAAGTCCACTTTTTCCCAATCTCCATCTACTTTGCCAGTCTCCAACTACTAGAAAGATCTGGGTTTTGCCCTTAAATGCACAGTCTATCAGGATGAACTGGGTCACCAAGATCTGTTCCTTCCTTTTGTTCCTCTTGACATTTACTCCATTTTTTCTTTCCTTTAATAAGCTTTCTCTTTCTTGTCTCAAAACCGAATACTTTTCTCATCTTAGTGTAACACCTATTTTCATTCTTTCTTTTGACAGCTGATAAAGTCATGTACACTCAATTCTTTTGCCACCACCGTATCAAAAGAGTGATTTTCCATCCACTTACCTTTCCCTCCACTTTGAGAGCCGTACTCAAGTTTCTTCTTCACTGCTGGCATAATTCAAAAGAATATATTGGCCCTGGCCCAGCACATCCAGGGTCACGTCAGCAGATCTACAATGGCTTGAGTACAGGACTATGAAGAGGCACATCATGTGACATTCGGGACAGCAAAATCAACATCTCAAGATTGGAAGAAACACCATCAAGACCTAAAAGATACGATTTCTATTTTTTAATATACCATACAAGAATCCAAAGCCAGTGAAACTATATTCAGTGCTTCTCATCACTATCACCAATGGTTTGTGCAGCTCATAAAAAGGAGAGTGTATATAATAAATTTTAAGACTGGGCCAAGAAGATGAAATAGCACATTGTAGCACATTCTGAAGTGAGACATAACATAATCTGGGTCCTGATACTTAAGTGAGAGTCAGCAGGATGCTAGTTATGGGGAATAATATATTTCTGAATTAGTATCACAGTTCAAGATGCAGTGATCTTTCTAGGTTGTTACACGTAACTGAGGAGTGAGAGAAGAATATATGGCAAAGTATCAATTTAACTACATTCAAGTGAGAGCACACATTATATAATAGTTCAGTGTTTTTGTAAGTAGACTGAACACTGATAGAGTGGATAGCTACCTATTTGTTACACATATGAATCATTATTATGACTATATTTTGATGACAGACTCTAACTAGACATTATAGAAAGTAAAGAAGTTTGTTATACTTGCTCTTTTGCTTTACATGATTTTTTTGTAATTTATGAGGTGGTGATATTATCTAGTTATATTAAATATATTAATATTCACATTTAAATAGAGGTGGGCACAATATTATTAAACATCAAAAATTAATCATAATCATTCCTTCAGCATTATCTAGGACTTATTCAGATTTTGTTTCTTGCTGCTATGATGTGATGGGAGATTTCAGAATAGTAAGTGGTAAAATACACATTAGATGCACAACTGAAATAAAATAAGATTGTGTAAAACAGAAGAGTGTTTTCTTGTAGTATTAACCTGTAGCAACCTAGTATGGACCATCATGTTTGGTGGGACTTTGGTTCATGAAGTTTCAGATTTTGTTTTTTATAAAAGCACCCCTGAATATCATTTTTAAGCCTAATTATGTTCTTGGAAAGAGGCTATGTGTATGAGAAATAGCATTTCAAATTTTTCTTTATGGATATATTGTAATAAATGATATCATTAGCATATAATTATAACATACACAATTATCCAAAAAGATAAGCTAATACTTTTGATATCTTTCACATATATGTGTGTGAGGTATATACAATCCATAAACAAAGCCAGTTAAAATAGAACTCTATTACCATTATCACCTTTTTACCTTAACATTTTTTTTTATTTTTCACTTTTGGATCGAATTTTGTACAATAGAAGCGTTCTGGATATAAGTCAACAAGAGACAATTGAGAAAAGGCAACAAGGTAATTGCTCTGCCTTGCCTGGTGAACTCTTAAATCAACAAAGGAGTCCGCCTCTCTAAGCTAATCAGCCCGTGTGGGTCCCCCGCCTGACAGTAGAGCGCTGAAGTGAATCTACGCTGCGGGGGTTTCTCTCTTGTTTTCCAATTCAAACGCTTGCAACACAGAGTGAATAAAATAATCCTAAAAAATAATGCCAACTAATACTTCAACGTATCTATATTTTAGGAGTGATATTAAGAATTAAACTATTCACTCCAATGTTCTGCACCAATAACTATGCTATCATTTCCGGACGCTGCCACCAACAGAGGGAATGTTGTCCTTACAATTTTCTTGAACGTAGGCGCTCAGAGAAAGTTGAGCCTCTGGCAGATGGCATAAAGAGGTGATTTGACAAAGAGTTGGAAGCAATTAAGAAGGTACTTTGATTCTTTCATTTCCACAAGTGTATTCATTCGGGGAGAAACCTAGGGGACTGGGCCATGGGAGGAAAATAGGGGCAACCTAAAACAAAGTTTATTTAACCTTCAGAAAGGTTGCATCTCTGAGTCTGCCGCCACAGGTTGCGGTTACTTCTCCACTCTTCGAACCTAGGGGGCTGGAGGATCTCCCAGCAGACAGCCCCCAGGTGGCAGGCAGGGGCCCTTCCCCTTTTAGTGATCGGCGCCGCGGGTGATCAGATTCACCGGATTCACCTTTGCTTTCGCGTCCCCAGCAATGCGCTACCGAGGCTCTCCAGAGCTCTGGTTCCAAACGGGAGTGGCAAGCGGATTCACACTGAGGAACAGAATGACCTCTCCGGGCTGCGCTCGCTGTCTCGGGACTGTGAGAGGTGTGCGGCACGTTGATTTCCTCCTTTAGTCTAGCAGGAGTTAGGGCAGTGGGGTGTAGATTCAGTTCGATTTTTCCATTTCTGTCAACCGGAAGATGGGATAGAAAAATGCCCTTGAGCGCAGAACACTCAGGGTTGGGGGGTGGTCGGCTACAAGGCTGACAAGTTGGAAATCGGGAAGGGAGGAGGCCCGAGGGGATAGAGGTGGGGTTCTCTTTGTTTCGCACTACTCATCCCTGGACTGGGGCTGGGCTAAATATCTAGCGACATCTGTGCTTGAACCCGGGCGGGTGGGGTTCTTGGCGAGACCAGAAACTTGATCGCAGGGCTCTAAGCCCGAAAAGGACCGTAGGACAGGAGTTCCTGGGCCCCCAGTGAGAGGCTGTCTGCATAGAGCGGTTGACCTCGGCGCCGCGTGGCTGCGCGGGTGGGAAGGGAAGGCGTTCTTGACCTCCTCCCAGAGCAAGTTATTAACTCAGTGGAGTTGATCAAATGACGTTCCTTCTGAAAGGGGTCGTCTCCTGGGCCCCTTTTCTCAGTTGGCATTTAGCAGGTAGAGGGGCGGGACGAATTCTTCTCTCAACCGTAAGTCACAAAGAATTGCTGAGTTACCTTACCAGCTTGGATCCGGAGGCGCAGATGATTCTAAATGCACACGCACCAGGACCTCATCCTCTCATTCACCTCCAAGCAGATGGCGACCTTCAAAACTGTCCCTAAATCTTATCTCCCGAACTTATTAGCCATTTACTGCGACTTGAAGATTTTCCTCCAGCCCTGACACCACATTCTCTTCTACCCTGAGAATCTGCTTGTGGATGCCACCAGTGATTGCCCCTCACCTTAAAAACAGCCCCCACCCACGCATCTCAGCTAGACTAAACGGCCCGACATGCTTTAGTCACCAGTTTAATTCATAGAAAGTAGCTATAACTCTTGGCATCACCTCCGCAGCCCACCCGAGGACACCTTATTATGAGGCTGTTTTTCGAGTGCTGAATTCTGAGACTTAAGGCAAGGTTATTTGAGGCATCCTGGTAGATTTCCGGGCTTCCAATTCCCTCCCCCGCTTGGCTGGTAATTTTCTGCTGCTGCTTCTCCTCCTCCTCTTGACCTCCTCCAAGGTACCTTCGCCTCCCCTCCCCCGCTCGTTCCCCGTAAACCTCCAGCCAGCGGTGGAAGTCAATCCTTTGGCGCTAAATTCAGAGCTGCAGGATTGCAGTGGGGGAAAGGGTGTCATTTCTTTCAGAAAGAATGTCATTTGATCAACTACACTGAGTTAACTTGCCGCGGCTTTCCCGAGAGCTCTGGTGGGCCCCTGGGTGTTTTGCTAGATTCAGTGCAGATGTGGTAGCGTTTAGCCGAACCGCCCAGTTCTTGGGAGATCAAGCTTTTTCTCCTCTCCAGACTCCAACTACCCCAGCGAGAATCCGATACATTTAATGAAGGCTTCGCCAGATGCAGGGTTCACCGCGTCCTTGGGCCAGAACCTCTTAGTCAGCACATTGCACTCACTGGCTGCAACCTGGGCTCCACGCAGAACTCCGGCGCAGATGAAAATTGCCTGTTCCTAGTCAGTTCGAGTTTCAAAAAGAAAAAAAACAAAAACAAAAAAAACTGAAAAAAGGAAGAGAAAGGTTTCGCGTGACACTGCCAGCTGCTTTTGTGAAATCATAATAAACACTTCCAAAAGCACAATGTTAAAGGAAGGGTGCAAATTTCTGTCCTCGCTTGGCCGAATTGCTACCGGCAACGAGGTGCGGAACCTCGCATTCTCAACACTGATCTGAGGTTTGTGGCTTCGCCGCTGCCGGGAGCGTGGAATTCTATCTTGGCTGAGAACCGAGCAGCAGACCGCACAGGAACGCTGCCTCCCGGGCTGCCGTCTGCCAGGAACGCTGGGGACAGAAACAACTACCTGAACTAAGAACCGTAGGCTAGGAAGCTCTGCGTGCAGAAAAAAAATTCTTGCCAATTCACCTAGATTGTTTTAACTGGTTAATAAAGCAACTGACACTCAACAAAACAACAGTCACAGCAGGAGTTCTCGGCAATAAAATGGGAATCACAACTATGGGGTTGTTAACTGCCTTCAGTATTATCATTGCTTAGTATTACTTAAAAAAAAAAAAAAAGACGGCAAGAAAAAGATAATCATTTCATACCCAATGGTACATAAAGAAGATCCCTTCCCTTTTTCTCTGAAATTAGAGCGCAGATTCTCTTGATTCATCGTCAATAAGCCGTCACCAAGAAGAACTGGAAGAGAGGCAAATGAGCCGTAAACACCCACAGTCCTGATCTGGGTGGAATGTAAATGGTTAACCGTGACTCCCTTTGAAACGCGTATAATTTTATCTGACCTTTGGACGTGATTTAAGATATGGATGGTTTACGTAGCCATGATTAGACTATACAGAATAAGTAAAAGCAAGAAGGGGGAATGAGGTACATTCCATATCTATTTTCTGAGGTGAAGAAAATATGTTCATGTCTCATTTTCATCCCCAAATTACAAGTTTGTGGATATCAGGAAAATACAAATCCTTCAGTTATAGTTTTCCACCTGAATACCTTACTCATGCAAATTGGCAGTCCAACTGTTATCCCACCCTTTCAAATGAGATTCTGATGTGGGCTAAACAGAGCATCACCTCCCTGGGAATAAGTTCCCAAACAAATCCATAGTTCAGGAAAAGCTGACCCAAACCCCCTTTCCTTTCCAATCTCGTTTAGTTGGGGAAGAAGAAGTCTTCTCCCTTTCTGTACATACTTTCCCAAAGAGCCAACTTAAAGTTCATTTCTGTCTGCCAGAGGTTGTTGGGCAATAAATAAGTTCTAAACATGTAACACTACTTTTCAATTGCAATTCAAACCTATTTAGATTTTTGAAAAGTAGTTTGAGAACATGATATTTGTTCAGGAATGTGTACCTGGCATTAAGTTTGATGCAGAATGTTTAAATTTTAATTAAAGCAGAGACAGAAAGCAGCAGCACACAGAAATACAGACGTAAGAGCCTACCAGGAGTTTTAGGTGTCACAGCGGCTTTTGGAAAGTGTATGCAAGTGCACGTGGGCACATGTGACAGACTCAAGAGGAACTTACTAAATCTCAGCATCTCTTTCATAGTCAAAGACACTGTAAAGTATATTTGGGTGGCCTGGAGATAATAGGGACAAATATTGAATAACTACTAATATTCTGGTTTTTCTTTCGTCAATATAGGGGTTCAAACCAGGGGATTCAGAAAACTGATATTTTGAAGGATATATTTTTGACCTAAGAGAATAGGCAAAGGTCAAAATGAGTCCATGTTTGACAGGACAGGGTCTAATCCTCCCTTTGAACACAAGAGGTCGCTCCTGTGATCAAGTACTGGAGGAAATATTGCTAATCACTGTTTGATGTATTCTATAAAAATATTGCCCATTTTTTTTACAGATATATTTGATTCATTAAATGCACCTATTGCAATCAGCTAAGGAAACAGCGGGATAATCTGTAATTACATTTGAACTTCAAGGTGAAGTGAAACAATATGCCTGCTATCCTAACTTTAATTTTAATGCAAAGTGTATTAGCAACAGACACAGAGAACTCCACAGCACAACCATCATGGCACAACATAATTACTCACTTCTCTCAAATTTCCCCCCTTAGCAGGCGGTGTCTCCTACAGGACCTTTACCTCTATCAGCTTAGGAACTTGGTAAGAAAATACTTGTTTACAACAACAGTGGGGGCTGAAAACAAGGATAAAATGTTGCCTTCAGCATTATAGTGAAATTGCCCATTCCTAAAGGTTTCCTCCAAGCCACATGGCAGTTTTTCTATCCGGAATTGTTATCATCAGCAGCAATAATTCTTTGGAACAGCTTATTAGTTTAGGGAGTTAAAACACCACACTGTGTGCGCGCATCTGGTGTGAAGAAGGATGGGTAGTGAGGGTACTTTGTGGATCTCAAATACAAGTCATCAGGCTTCTGGCAGCGTCTGTTGTTTAACTGCATGTTACAAAGGTGGCATAATGGAATACGACTGTAGAAAATCCTCTATTTACTTTCTGGCGTTATAGTTGTATCTTTTTTTTTTTTTAACTCCAGTCAACTAGGTTCTCTTTTTGGGGTAACATGCCCATATACCGGAAGACTTGCTTCGTGTTGTGATTATCAGTATCAGTTTTGCAAAAGCAGCCTGACAAAAGGTTCCACACGTATAAAACCAGACTAGAAACTTGGACCAAAAACCCCCATGAAACAAAACAAAACGCACAAAAAATCTGATAAATTTATCAACCTATGTCTAGCCAACTTTCGATTTCACACACGCACTCTGATATAACTTCTAACAAAAACAGAAGGGATGGGATCCAGTTAGAAATCTTCCTTCAGAGAAAACAAAACAAAACAAATACGTGTTCTTGGTATAGCCCCACTAGTTCAGGAGTAAACTCCCGCATCTTAGCTTCTCTTTGCCTCTGGAGAAGCATAATCATGCAAACCGAGCCACTGAGGCCAGCTAAGGGCTCATAGCTCTTATCAAGGGTTAGATCTGAGGAAAGATAGAACGAAAGGAGTTTCCTAACACACCAGGTTTTCTCGCGGCAACAAGACACCGAAATTAAGCCTTCTACTGCTTGGGTTTGTGAGCCTTTTCAGATAAAACTGCAGTCGCATTAGATAACGAATAGCTATTTAGAAGCTTGGGGAGAAGTGTGGGGGTTCTTCGTGGCCTTCCTGTGACTTTGTTTTTGAGAGACTGCAGAGATGACGGGAACATGTAAGAAATTATTGGAAAAGGTTACCGGCGAGTTGCAGCCAACATTTTTCTCTCTCTAGGTTGTTTCCCGAGAGAAAAATATCAGATCAACATACCCAGTGAAGTCGAATAGGTATTTCACTATTCTTCTGTATGAGACCCCTCCCTACTGACGCCTTAAGACTAACGTATTTTTTAAAATCTCTAGAGAGACATGGAGATTTGTCCTTTTAATTATCAAAACACCACCAGTTAATTGCACACGTTTGCTTTCAAAAAAGGGCAGGAGACTAGCAAACAGAAGAAGTGGACAGGATATAATCGTTTTACAAACTGTAAACTACTGGAAAATCATTTCGATCTTTGGCTTCAGGTTAGCGCGCTTCCTAATTCTAGAGTTAACTGCAAAGCAGACCTCGAGGGGAAGGAGAGAGAGCAGCCTGCGGAGTCACCTTGGTTTTACCTGTCCGCTTCCAACCTGATTCTCCGCTAAGGCAAGAAGCGCCGCTTTCCTCCCACCCTAAGTTTTTGGAGATCTGAGGTAGGGGTTAACGGGGTGCTGGGGTAGCAGTAGCGAACAATTCCTCTGGGTCTATTCATTCCATTCCCGGTTCTTCTTCCCCTATGCAGCTCCCAGCGCGACAAGCGCAGCCAGTTAGGGAACTCACCCTCCCCGGCAGCCAAGCCGGGCCAGGCCCGGAGCTGTGCGCCAAAGCGCGAGACCAAACCGAGCCAAACGGCTTGTTCCAAGACGCCCCTTTTCCTAGGGCCCAGGAGGGACCTCGTCATCAGGAAGACCTACCCACCAGCCACTCGCCACCGGCGGCAGAAAAGTGAGCCCCGCGCGCAACACGGCCAGCCGGACAGCGGGGACCCCAGGAGCGCAGGGCGGAGGAGCAGCGCGACAGGAGGCGAGGGCGCTGGCGGCGCGGCCGGGAAGGAGCGCGGGAGGGGGCAGGAGGAGGAGGAGAGGGAGGCCAAAAGCCAGAGCAGCCGGGCAGCCCGAGCAGCCGGGGAGAGCGGTCTGAGCCCCGAGCAAGTTGCCCCGGGAGCCCTAATCCTCTCCCGCGGGCTCGCCGAGCGGTCAGTGGCGCTCGGCAGCGACGAGGCTGAAATATGATAATCAGAACAGCTGCGCCCCGCGCCCCGCAGCCAATGGGCGCGGCGCTCGCCTGACGTCCCCGCGCGCTGCGTCAGACCAATGGCGATGGAGCTGAGTTGGAGCAGAGAAGTTTGAGTAAGAGATAAGGAAGAGAGGTGCCCGAGCCGCGCCGAGTCCGCCGCCGCCGCAGCGCCTCCGCTCCGCCAACTCCGCCGGCTTAAATTGGACTCCCCGATCCGCGAGGGCGCGGCGCAGCCGGGCAGCGGCTCTCTCAGCCTTGGCAATCCCAGGGGCCACTATTTCCCACTTAGCCACAGCTCCAGCATCCTCTCTGTGGGCTGTTCACCAACTGTACAACCACCATTTCACTGTGGACATTACTCCCTCTTACAGATATGGGAGACATGGGAGATCCACCAAAAAGTAAGAGGCTATTTTACCTTGTGGGGCTCGGTGTGCTGTTCTTGTGCGGGGGTCTCTCTCAGGCACGGGTGCCAAGGGCTCTTCGGAGTTGGAGTCATTGCCTAGAGAGAGAGAAAAGGTGGCTTATTCTTTTTGCCGCCACGCCTGCATGCTTGCTGTTGGTTCCGATCTTCGGGAAACTGATCGTACCTTGTGTTTGAATTCGCCTGTGTGCCCTCCAAACCCTAGGCTTCTAGTGCTAAGCGGTGGTTTCCTCCTCGGGAATCCTGAGCTCTCCGAGAAGGTTATTCTGTTGCAAAGGTCTGCCTGCACATACAATACCCGGAGATCTGAATTAGCATTAGACTTGCAAAAAAGAACTAGTGACAACTGTATTGATGTCTGCTCTTCCTAACAATATCCAGTCCTGTGTGCTATTTAAGAGCATGCTTCATGGAAAATATAGACATCCCTGCGTTCACTTAACGCTTCTAGTCAAAACCTTTTCTTTGACTTGACTTATCCATAATCTTTCCCGATGATTATGGCAAAGAGGGAGGAGGGAGGAAAAAGAAATACAAAATGAACGGGTTTGATTGCGTGCTAGGCTTACAAACGTAGACTACTCAAATCGCATTTTACATATATTCCACCTCCTTTTTAAAATGAGTCAAGGTTTTGATGGCACACTTCAATTACCATCCCAAAGTGCAATACTCAAAAAAAAGAAAGAAAGAAAAAAAAACCTCCCAGAGTACGCCCTATAAGAGAACGACACTAAAAGTGTGTTTATCTCTGTAGGAAGTAAACGGTTAGTCAATCATGTATTTATTTTCATTTCAGAAAAACGTCTGATTTCCTTATGTGTTGGTTGCGGCAATCAGATTCACGATCAGTATATTCTGAGGGTTTCTCCGGATTTGGAATGGCATGCGGCATGTTTGAAATGTGCGGAGTGTAATCAGTATTTGGACGAGAGCTGTACGTGCTTTGTTAGAGATGGGAAAACCTACTGTAAAAGAGATTATATCAGGTACGCCATTTATACTGCTTGCTTAATTTTGTGAGAGTTCCCTGTCTCTCCCCACTCCTTGTTTATTATTTGATGTGGCTTTGTCTTTTGGGGGAAGTTTGCTTTAGTGGGGTCCAGCATGCTAAAGTTACCATCTAAGTGAGTTATGTAAATTAAACTATACTGTTCATTTCACTTTTTAGGGAACCCCCCCCAAACTCAGTGGTGGTTTTCCTAAATTGCATAGTATTGAAGCTTGTTTAATTGCTCTTGGAATTTGTGATGCTCAAATTATTTTCCTCTTCCACCCTCCCCCTTCCAAAAAATAAATTTAAAGATGGATAAATTGGGGTTTCTAAACTTAAAAAAAAAGGTTTATTTTTTATTGTATCCTGCAATGATTTTTTCTTCTTTTGCTTTAGTTCAGTAATTTATTAGTAACGTACAAATTCTTTGGAGATGTCAATGCAAGATCTAAGCATGTTTAGAGATGCACTTTGAAAGCAAATAGAGGTATTTCACCTTTTACTTTTAGGGTAACAGCTCCTTCCTGGAAAATTTCAAAACCAACCCAAATATTCCCTGCAAAAAGGCTGGAAATTTAATCTTTTTAAATATTAACCCTTTGGTGACATCTGACTATCTTTTCTTTCTTATCTTATCTGAGCTGATGAATTAGACAGAGCAGATCAAATTGCCCATCATCTGTCTACGAACAATTGGTATATTTAGATAATTGAACAGCTTCCTTTCTCACATTAAAATCTGGTAACTGATAAAATGAGTGAATTGCCCATACTAACAAGGGTAAAACCACAGAAGGAACTTTCCGAGTTTCTTTTTCTTTCAGTTTATTCTGCATCTAAACTTCGTGCTTCGCTAATCTCAAATTTTCTCTGACCTGTGTATATGTACTATGTCAGAAACTTCATTTGCTGCTTTAGGAAGCCAGTAGAATTTCTAAAGGAAATTTTGTTATTTTAATAACAAACAGAAGCGATAACACTCTCAGTGTTAGGTTAAATAATATCAAAATATTATGTATTTTTTAAAAAATTTCTCCAGTGGCTATTAACAAGTAATTAGCTTTAAGTAATAGAGTTTCTGGAGCTGTGAACATATATTAAAGTTTAGTCAAAATTTAAGTATGTAGTCACAATTTTTTCTTGCTTAGTGTCTAGCATTTTTTTAATTTTAAAATCATAAAGCGGAGAGAATAATCTTGATAGGTAAAACTAAACAGTGCCCCCAAAAAAGGTTATTGATGCTTTGGTTGGAGGGGCAAGTGGGAGGAAATAGGGGAAGTGGGGACTGGAGGAAGGGGAGGGATTTTCCAAATTGTTTGGTCACAGGCAAGGTAAAGTCCTCATCCTATGAAATGGAAGATCTCATATAGAGTAGGCGGAGGGAGGAAAACTTTTGAATCTACCTTCTAACCTCTGACAAACGAGCTGGTTTCATTGTTTACTTGATTGGTGTGTGAACTCAAGATTCTGGAGAGGGAGAGCTCACTTTGCACCTCCAGGAGTATCTTTACTTCTATGGAGATAGTGTTTTGGTCCATTGCATATAGACCAGCATTTGCCAAATTCTGGATGCACTTTTGCAGAAGGAGCCAATCGATTTTACCTTTTCCTTTCCATTCTCTCTCAGCTCTGTGTGTGTGTGTGTGTGTGTGTGTGTGTGTGTGTTCCTTTGAAATCCTGTAGTTGTAAAAGCAGAACAGAGAGACCATTTAGATTTCCGAATGCCTTTCTTCCCTTGGGGGAGCGAGATGCCCCAGTTCGCCGCTTTGTGTGGATCTTTCCCTCTCTTCCATTCTCTCCGTTTGTAGGAATGCCCTCGCTTCTGTTATTACTGATACATGGAGAGGGAGCCAGGGCAGAGCCGCCTAGGCAGAACCTAAAAGGATTGTCCCTTGGTAAGGAAAGGTTAGTGAGGAAGATCTTAGAAGTGAGTCTTTTCATTCTTCTGGGCGGTCATAGCTCTCAGGCAAACTGAAACAGTGGTAGATGCTTCAGTTATTTGAAAAAGATTGAGGGAACAGAGGCACATTTTTAAAATAATAATAAACGGAAGAATGGAGAGGAAACTTTGTTAACATTGTTGCCTGAGGAAAAATCTTTAGTTGGGGAAAAATTGCAACGGGCGTATGGTGCAGAAAGGGATCTGGAAGCCCTCAGAGGTTTCATTTTGTTATTCTGCTTGTGCATTTGTGTCTGTTTGCAAACCGAGTGGGGTGACAATCTGCTTCCCCAGCCTCTTTTTTCTCTTAGAAGGAGGAGTTTTTGTTACAGTTTGAGACATTTCTAGCAGTAGAAATTGGAGGATAGGGAGGAGAAAGTGTGAGGCCAGTGGCTACTGGAGTCCCCCTGGACTCTTTCCTGCCAGGAGCTGCAGGGGCCACCCTCGGACTGATCGCTAGAGCAGCAGCCCAGGTTTAGAACACATCAAACATTTTTCCGTGGTATGGACCACGGGTTCTGAACTAAGAGGTACTGGACGGAGACAGGAGGTTCATAGGGAAGGAAAAGGGAGTAAAAAGAAAGGGAGAGGGAGAAGGGAGAGAAATCGACTCTTCTCTATCCTCCTCTTCCCGGCTAGTCTGCTAATGCTGATTTCAGTGTCTCAGGGCGTTGTGGCCGGCCTCGCCGGCAGTCTTGCGCCAGGGCAGTGCCCGCCTGAAGTGACCCCCTCTCCCTGTGCTTCTCTCCCGGCCCGGGCCCGGCCCCCGCGTAGGTTGTACGGGATCAAATGCGCCAAGTGCAGCATCGGCTTCAGCAAGAACGACTTCGTGATGCGCGCCCGCTCCAAGGTGTACCACATCGAGTGTTTCCGCTGCGTGGCCTGCAGTCGCCAGCTCATCCCAGGGGACGAGTTCGCACTGCGGGAGGACGGGCTCTTCTGCCGCGCCGACCACGACGTGGTGGAGAGGGCCAGCCTGGGGGCCGGCGACCCGCTCAGCCCCCTGCACCCGGCGCGGCCGCTGCAAATGGCAGGTACTCCTTGGCGGAGAGGGAGGCCCGGCTCGGAAGGCAGGCGTCGTGCTAGGCCAGCGCCGCCCCTGCCAGCGCGCGGGCGGCCCGGCAACCCTGGTAGGCACAGGGCGGTCGCAGCGACAGCGGCGGCGGCCGGCAGTTAAAGGAAGTGTTGTGGGGGCAGTTTGTGCTGTGCTTCGCTCTTTTGCGGCAAGGTTCAGTGCACTCGCTGTGCCCTTGACTCCTCCAGCATACCTACACGTCTGTGTGTCTATATATGGGTACACGTGAATGTACACCACTTGTGCACACGTATACACACGTCCAAACAGTACTTCTAGTTCACCTTGGCCTCCAAACCGTGGCTTACTGAAAACGGACTTCAGCAGGTATGCTGCCCGCCACTGCCTGATTAAAGGGGTGGAGCTCTGGGCCCCTGGAGCTTCCTCCTTTAACCCAATGAAGGAAGTTTAGGTGGCCTTAAGTCATTTAGCTTCTCAAATCCTTTTTCCTTGCAAACTGCCCCACACTCCAAAACATTTTTAGAATTTATTTTTATCCTTTTGTGAAAGAATGGACCCGAAATGATACAGTCTTAGTAACTGCAGGTCATTGCACAGAGCTGTAATTTAAAACTGTCAACAAGCTGATCTGCAGTAATTGCCTTTTAAAGGGTGCCTGCCTCTTTAAACCATTCATTCTTCGTGATTTGGTGACAATTTCATCTTCAGGCCTGTGGCTGTAACACTAAATTGACCCCATAGGTGTTGACCTGACCCTAGGGGCTCCTGGAAGGTGCAGGATTTGTACTATACCGATCAGACGGCCCTTTCCCAGGAAGGAGAGTAGAAACAGAGCAAGGTTGGCCAGGAGGAGGCCCTGGGTAAGAAGGCAGACAATGTTTCCAAACCCGCCTTCCGGTCATGAATGGATCTGCCTGGGTGCATTTCTGAAGTATCAATTCGCACTAAACACTGGCGGTGAGA